CCTTCTCCTTCTCCTTCTCCTTCTCCTTCTCCTTCTCCTTCTCCTTCTCCTTCTCCTTCTCCTCCTTCTCCTCCTTCTCCATCTCCTCCTCCTCCTCTTCCTCCCTCTTCCCTCCTCCTTCCTCCTTTCTCCTTCCTCCTTCTCATTCAATCCCTGTATCTCCCAAAACCATCCTTACAGTATCTAAGATTGTGCCCTCCAGATGTGATAGGACCATAAGTCCCAGAATTCCTGAACAGTGTTGCCCATGAGAAATATGGAAGAACCAAGATACTTGTAGGGCATCATCAGGTTGAGGAAAGCTGAATGAAAAAAATAAATAAATCTGAGGTTGCTGTAGTTGGAAAGAGATCTTCTGGGGCATGGTTTCTAGTCTGCAATGCACTAAGCTAGAAGATATTTTGGTTTGGTTTAGTATGTTATATGAATCCAGACATTATGGTTTGGAAACCGTGTTTTATTTAGTGTGTTGTGCAAAACCACCTGTGATTTATTCAATAAACCAAAAAAACTACATGGATGTGTACATGTAGTTACCCAGAGCTGAACTTAAAGATGTGGTTGATTGCGTAGGATTCCTGGATTCACACCTAGCAGTTAACCACATCTTAAGCAATCAACCACATCTTTAAGTTCAGCTCTGGGTAACTACATGCACACATCCATGTAATTTTCTTGGTAACAGTGGAAAAATGGTTGGTTGGTGGTCTCCCATCCAAATACTTACCAGATCTATCCCTGCTGAGCTCTCCAAGCCAGCTCCAGTCAGACCGTATGGGGAATAGTTGGAGTGTTGTGCAAGTAAGCACATCGTGTTTAGTTCATTGCTACCAATTGATTTATTTTGAGAGCGGAAGCATTTTGGCACACTCAGAAGCAGCCGTTCTCCAGACAGTAGCGCAGGTTCCCTTTCTCTTACTACAGGCTGTTTAAGCTGAAGAAACGTTACCGGAACGTCTTGGATACCATGTTTGAGCTTCTTCCCAGGATGGGCAGGTAGGAAGAGCGAAAGATTTATCTTGCTTCCAGTCTTTGTTCCTTAACGTGCTTTATTAATTACAATACTTGTCTTCCGCTCTTCCCATAGCTACGTTCAATCAACCTCAGAGCATAGTAATCAAATGATACTGAAAACAATAGCCCTCGTAACACATAGCCATATAAAAAGATATTCAGCATTAAAACCAACAGAATCGCAAGAGAGGAGGGAAAACATGAAGAAAAATGCAATAACTCAGGAAATTCAAAGGCTACAGAAATAGGACACGTTTTTTGCACGCATCGGTTTACATAAGCAAACTTGATTGTGGCCCCAGTCAGCATTTTTGAAGAAACAAGCCCACAATGATGGCTGGGTTGGTCCAGGAGGGGTGTGTGCAGAGGGAAATCTAATGACCCAAATGAGCAATGCATTTTTTTTTATTTATTAGATTTTTTTAATCCCACCTTTATTATTTTTATAAATAACTCAAGGCCGTGCACCTACCTAATACTTGTTCCTCCTCCTGGGGGAGTTTTGCAAATCTGTGCCTGAAATGAGCAGAAACTAGATTGTGCCAATTCAGAGTCTTTGATGGGTTAGAGAAGGTTCATAGGAGGGGAACCAAGACGATCATGAGACTTAAGGACGTGCTATGAAGACAGGCTGAAGTAACTTGAGATGTTCAGTCTGAACAAAAGAAAACTTAGGGGAGATACGGTACCCATGTTCAGGCATGTAAAGGGAAGATGGACAGTCTACCCATGGAGGTTGTGGGTTCTCCATCCCTGGAGATGTTTAAGAAAAGACTGGACAGTTACTTCTCAATGGTAATGTAATGGGTTTTCCCACACACTGCAGAAGGCTGGTGTCGCTCATCCTTGTAGTCCTTTCCAGCGTTATGATTCAATGAGTTGTTCTTAGCTGAAGTCAGAAATAGAAATCCATCATTGAAAAACCACCTTGTTGAATGGCACCTTGGCTAAGCCCTGCCTTTTTCCTCTAGCCTAGGTCTAACGCTACTCATCTTCTATTACTGTTTTGCCATTGTTGGCATGGAATTCTTCTCAGGAAAACTCTACCCAAATTGTTGTAAGTAAGTATCTCCATGTTCCTTCTCTCTGAAAAATATACATGGACTCAGGTCAGTGTGTTAGAATTGAAGGGACAACCTCAGGTCATTCAGTTGTTTAGCTCCAAATTTTCAGTCCCAGCCAGCTATGGCCAGGGATGATGAGAACTGGAATCCAGCAACATCTTGTGGGCCTTGGATTGCTCGCTTGTCAGATTAGGAGAAGGGAAGCCAGAGGGATTGAAATCACACGGACACCCCAAGTTGTAAGATTTTGGCCATTTTGAATTAATACACTATTAACTTAATCCTGGAAGGAACACCATTTTCAGATGCTCTTGATGATGTCTGTGGGTGTTGGGTGGCCCACCTTGAGTTAGTTCACAAGGTAGTGCAACACTTGAAATGAATTAAAATTGTACCCATGCTTCCTTCCCCACCTTGAATAAAGAAAACGGAGGGGATTTTTATGAAGAGACTCAGCATAATGTAGTGGTTAAGGCGCCAGATGTGGACTTAGGACGCTCAAGTTCAAGTCCCTGCTAAACCACTGAACTCACTTTGTGACATTGGGCCAGTCACTCTGTGTTTCAGCCCAATCTGCATTACTCTGACGGTGATGTGGGTGTACAATTAAGGGGTACATTCATATACTTTATGTAGGTCTCTCAGGAAAGAAGATATTGATGCAATAAGTACATAAAAGTCACCTCCCTGTGGGCTCTGTTGAGGAAAATGGGATCAGAATCCCATCAATTATGGAACAGTACAGTCACAGACCTTTACTTCTCTGCCCTTCTGTGCCCCCTCCTTGTAAAAGCAGGTTTTTGAACTGCCTCATCTCTCAGTTTCTTCTTTCCTGTTTCCTCATCTAGCACCAGCACGGTGGCAGATGCCTTTCGCTGGATCAACCGCACCGTTGGGAACAAGACTGTGATGGACCAAGGATACTACTATCTCAACAACTTTGACAACATTTTGAATAGTTTCGGTAAGAGCACCAGCCTACTTGGCTTTTTTTAGTGTGAGCCCTGTGCTCCAGGACAGAGAAGGTAGGATGATCTGGTCTTTGGTCTAGGATCCTGGTTCTCTTTGTAGCTGAAGAACCACCCAAAAGTTCTGACAGAAAACGTAGATAATACAGTCTTTCCAAAATCCCTTGTGATACTAGATCATACTAGATACTGTCATGCTAGATGGATACATGCCAAGGGTGAAAATAAAACCACTTGTCACTTGTATTTAATTTCTTGAACCGAGGCTTAGAAGGCTGCATCCTGTGTTTGCATCACGTTTTATCATGCCAAGCCAAGTCAATTCAAGTAGTAAAGCAATACTTCCATCAGTTTTGTGGTTGGCTTTGCACAACACACTAACCTAGGCTAAAATGCAGTTGATTAATTTGAGTTTTTTGCTGTGGGAATTTAGCCATTGTCTTTGCGCGTTGGGTGAATTAGGCCATCACGTGAAACCATCGTTGACTTGTTTGGGTGCCACCTGTTATGTGCAGATAGCCATAAATTTGCTTCATGCAACACACTTAACCCGAGTACTGAATGAACTGGTGTTCTGGGTTTGCATTTCTTAAAACATGCATTAATCAAATGGTTGCAGGTTCACCCAACACACTACACCACAAAGAACTATGTTGAATATTAACCAACCTTAATATGTTTAGTGAATGCAACCATTGCTCTTCAGTTGACCTACCTAAGCATATTCTGTGAAATGCCCCCAACATCCCTTTGCTGAAATTCAGCAGCAAAAGGACCATTTTCAACAGTGAAACATTGGAGTGATTGTAAGCTCAGTGTTGGTGACCTACATGTTGTGTAAACTGTACCCCAAGACCTCCAAAGACGGCATTGTTCAAACCTGATGTGCTCTAGTGATGTTCCTGTATCAACAGTTATAAGCTTGTTCCTGCCACTCGTGGAGCAATACCCCCCCCCTTTTAAGAAATTAACATATTTTGGGAAGGATGTTCTTTACTCTTTTCATGGATTTCATGGATCCTTGAAGTGGAAATGTTGAGTGAAAGACAATTGTTTCCTGCTCATTGTCTCCCTACCTTTCTTTTTCTTATTCAGTGACCCTATTTGAGTTGACCGTAGTCAATGATTGGTACATCGTCATGGTAAGTCTACAAAGAACCCCTCCTTGGCTGGAGCAATTCCATGTCTAAATTCCCCCACCTTCCGGGCCCTTTCAGCTCCAGAGTATTGCAATGAATAAGCCAAATCACTGGCAAGAATGAGTAATGGTTAGAACAATGCTGATGGCTAAGAAAATGCAGTTTGAAACTCAAACTTGAAGCCACCTAGATGATCTTGAGCCTATCATTTTCTGCTTATCCTAACTTTCAAAGGTGTTGTGACAAGAGAAGGGAGGGTGGGAGTGAGAGAAGATCTGGGCATCATGCCCTGAGTTCCTTGGCAGATAGATGAATTAAAATTTGGGTATAAATTTTAAATCAATCAATCAATCAATCAATCAATCAATCAATC